CAGCCGACTTCTCAACCCTTCGTTCTTTTATCTTCTTGGTAATTACGACGAAGAATGACCGCAAGACGGTTCTGTTTGTATGGAGCTTTCGTACTTGCGCACGGTAGCGATGTTAAACGCGCGTTTCGCGCTTCCACAGCCGCGGCTATTCCCCGCGGAAATGTCGTTCGATCTGCATTATCTCTCATGCACTTCGTTCCCTCAGAAATCCTCCTCTCTTATAATCGCTCCTTGATTTATCCCCCCGTTTCACTCTTGCCTGCGAATCGCGCGTTGAAGGTGTTCACTTTTACAAAGTGTGATGTATAGAAGAATGCGACGGCGATTTTAGCAATCAGTTTCTAACCTCTTTTTACGCGTCAAATTCTACTGATAGCTTTTTCAGTTGCTTCTCGCTTTAATATTTAATTTTATTAAAAAAAAGGGGGGGGGGAAAGTATATATAACATTCTAATCTTCTTTTCCTAATAATGACGCCCGCAAATATATCCGAAATAAATCCATAATTGCGTAATCATGCATAATCACAACAGCGAGATTTGAATTTTGGGAGATTTGATGAAGGGCTTGTGCAATGCCGATACTATAGGCGCTGGAGATACGAGGGAGGGCGAGAGAGGGGAGGGGGGCGTGATGTTCTGAAGAGGCTTTGACATGCGAATAGTCGTTGAAAAGGTTTGATGGGATGATTGCTTTGCGATTGACAGCTTCTCGGTAGCGGCGCTTGATGAAGTGGTCGCAAGATCTGCCGACTCATCAACCCTCGTTATGTCGACTCGCGTGCGAGTACGTGCGTCGTTGGTGTGGGTGTACGAGATTACGCTATCGTATCGCATATATGAAATCAACTGACCAGAATTTCGTCGTTTGAGCTAATAGAAAAGTCGTGTTGACCGTCAGCAGGCGGAATTTATTGTAAAACGTGACCACTCTACGTCGTCACGTCGTCTCTGCGTACGAATCTCGATCTCTCGCCGGAATTTTTCGTATAATAAAGGAAATAGTAACACGTTCTGGAATTGAATTTACTTCCGCGCGAACGATTGCAGTTATTTGCAGTTACTTTAAATAATTACAAATATTATTCAACATCTCGTAATTATTATTATTCGTATAATCGGCGGAAATTCTTGTGTTTTATCGAAATATATTTTTGTGCGTTGATTTATTCTTGGTGTCAAAATTATCTCTATGTATCTTCATAATTATTATTATTCATACGCGTATAATATAGTTCAGACTTAGCGGCAACACGGTGACGACAAAATGAAAGGGAAGCAATTCCCTTAAAGCAGTTTCTCTCGCTATTCCATAGACGAACTTGCGGTCTACCAGAGTTAGTTCCTCTACTTTAAGAACCAATTAGTTCTGGTTGCTGTGTCTCGCTGTACCGAATGTACCATCTTTCTCGATTGTATTATACGCCGATATCTCTGATAAACTTGGAGTTGATCTTTCCTCAGCTAGTTCTTTGCTACACTCTTTCTTCGGAATTTTATTATATAAGAAATTAAAATTTTTCGACCACTGTTTCGTTTGCCATCTGACAGCTTTAGTGAAAGAGATGTTATCACGTGTGGAAAATCGTGTCAAAATTCAACGCATTAATTAATAACGCTCGTGTATGTAAAAATTGTTACATTTTGTCTCTATGAAAATATTGGTTCAAGCAATTTCCTGATCGTTTTTTTTAGAACGTGTTTCGAGAATTATTCGTGCAGATAAAATAACGGTGTACAATTTTCATTTCTTAAATAATAAAATTTTAATGAGAAAAAAGTAACTAAGAATAGACGATTAATTACGAATAAGAAAATACCTGGAGAGGTCCTTTATCAGTAAGAGGATTTCAAAGGAGAAGACAAGATGCCGATGTAAATGGAGAGGGATGCAGATAGCTTAAAGGGCAAACTGTTGCTTTAGGTCTCAACAAGTAGGTCAACGACCGATCCGTTGAATAGAGATTTCGGTATCTTTGCTGTTGTTCGTAGCCGTATGTGAAGCATAATCTTTTCGCATTTAACCAGCATCCTCTTTTTGTCTTTGTAAATGTTTCTCTTCTTGAAGAAAATTATTTTCATATCTGAAAGTACGCACAACATGTCATTATTTCAAGTATTTAAGAGATTCTGTCATTCTAAGCATTTAACTGTGTGTGAAATGACACTCCGTCGTCTGAAATATTGAATGCAAAAATTGCTTAGGCAACAATTATTCATTAATCGTACAGAATTTTAATTTTGACCATTTGTTTCTTTTTTCGAAAAAACACTTGACTCTTCAATACTTGCGCAAATCACATTTTTCTATATGCTGTACGCACATTTATACATCACGCGTGATCACGATAATCCTATTGTTTCTCTTTTCCTCTCTCTATCTCTCTCTATCGTATCTCGGCGACACTTTATCGTAACCCAGAGCAATTATGTCGAAGACGGTCGGGCGGCTTCTCTCTTTGTCGCGCGATATTGCATGATAAGCGAATTATGTTCTCGTCGCGAAATCACGTTATCTCCGCATAAAATCACTGTGTTACGAAGTTCCACCGTTCCCGTCAGTCCGAACGTGGCATTATGGTCCCGATTCGGGAATATCGCCAAGTTTCTGCACAAAATTAACTTGAGTATATTAATATCTATCGTCATGAAACACAACGGATGAATTTTCGCTACGACGCTTCGAAATATCGTTCCGTCACTCGCGTATTAATTACGAACGTCATTCTTTGGCGCTAATAGTTTTAATTATAGTCTATTTACATTGTTACTATGCTGCAGTGAATTGAATTTGTTCCGACACATTAGACGAAGTCGTTTACATCATGCATTTAGCGACGACACTCTGTGCATATTCCGGCGGCTGTTTCGCGACGCACTGCCCGTGGAATTATTGAACAATGAAACCATCTGTTCATTAAAGATGTACAGCATGCAAAGGAGTTCACTGTGAGATGATCGTTGACAGACTGAGATGTTACATACAAAGTGCTCTAGAAAAAGAATCATACGTCTTTCTTTAATCATTGATAGATAATAAGCGAAATGGCTGTTGATTTCAATTCTGCGATATATTGATTATTTTCAGGTTTTAGCAACTATAAAATTTTAAACGCCAATCAATACGGATAATAGAATTTTAATCTTGAGATTATATTTTGGAGATATTTTAATTTAGCTTTAGTTCCCAAGATTAAATCATCGACGTATTGCAAAAAATTTTGCAGTTATAAAAATGGCAATTAAATCAAGTTTTTTGAAAAGAATGCTGTGAAAATTCAAGATTCCGCAGTAAAGAAGAATTTTTACGACACTCTATATATATCTTATTATGCGATAAGTTATCCGGCGAAAGGTAATAATCTATGCTATCATATAAATTAAAATACAATAGATATAAATAAGATGCGAGTGAAAGGCGTACATCGATCCTGTATTGATATGCGACATCGTGATAGGATTAAACATATGCCTCTTGTTCGCATCATAATTGCATTTATTAATGTTTTAATTTATGATAACATATAGATCATTATTTTCTCCAAGAACTTGTCATTTATTTCTACTTGTTATTTATTGTGTTTTACATTAGAAATAATAGCGTATTCTGAAATAACTTATACTCAATTTAAACAATTTATTTTCTAAATAGAAGCGCAATTATATACAGTGGAAATTTTGCGTACATTTTATTGCGTTTCCAGCATCGATATTCTCTATTTCGGGAAGCTTTTAGTAAAGAAATAGTCTGACTGTTTAATATAGCAAATTGGGATAGATTGCCCGACGTATTTCAACCGTTCAATGAAGCCGTATTATCCAGGACGTTCAAATGCCGACGCGAGATCCTTTTCGTAAGGAATGTATCTCCGTATCGCATCGTAATGTGTCCTGCAGTATTATCATACAGTTATTTTATCAGATCCATATTAAAGATAAACATTGCAACTGGAAGATTAAATTAAAATCAATCTAATTTATATAATATATTTTTTGTCGTAAATTCTTCAGACTTTGTTCAAAAATTCCAATTAAATTCCGCGCAAAACTCTTGATATAAAATTGTATTAATTATGATTATTGAAAACTGTGATCAAATAATGATATGTAATTTCACATTTTTCAACGATGTGGAATGTAATATATTACTGCGAAAGAAACGCACTCGTTCATACTCGATTTCTAATAGTGCTGCAGGAATTTCGTATATCGCTCCGTAGATAAATTTCAATTTAGTTCGCGCCTGGTTGCTCGCAAAATCAGAAGCGATTCGTGTCCAGGCAATGTGTTACTGCGTGTCGAAATGCAACTAGTGAGGAAGAGATCGGATGTAAATCAAACTCGGATAGCCGTGAAACGAGACTTCAGGCGGGACGAGGTGTGTTAGATGCAGAATCCTGGAAATAAAATTACGTCTTCGATCGTGCGTAAATGAATTTGCCGCAATCCTGTCTATTGCTTCTTTCTCGACGGGTCTTTGTCCGTTATGTGAATCACAAATAGTCCAGTGTGCATGATATGTTTTCTTACGTTATTAATATAGAAAATGAATATTTACTCTCAATATAGAGACAGTCTCTTCCATTTTTCAAATGTGATCTTCGCGAAAATTGTCTTCCAACAAAGTAGAAAAAAATTTTGTTCCATACTTTTTACTTATATTATGAGTCTTCTTAGAGATTCAAAGTGATCATTTACCGCGTTTCAGAACAAAAACAATGGACATTAGCTTCTTAAACTTTAAAATCTTTCTTAGATTTCATTGAGCTTTATACGAGGAATAAAAATAATTATAAAGGGAAAAAAATGAGGTGATTAAAAACCGAAAAAGGATTTCGGAGTTCCTCGGTTACCGGTCTTGTCGATCCGGTAATCGCATTAGAGCTGGTAATTACGACACCACTCGTAGTAACATGAAACCCGTAGGTCGGGTAAAGTACCGGACAGGGTTATGCAGATTGCTTTATAACCTTGTTACCGATCACTCTATTAACCTTACGAGGTTGCAACCCTCGATCCCCGTCCCTACTTCTGCCTCTGAAGCCGGGCAACAACGAAAGGCGGAAGTGAGACGAAGAGAGTCGTCTTGTCTCATCTCGCGCTTATAATGTTCCTTGTGAATCCTTGAGTCATCCCCTCCCACACTGAGTCGCTATTCTTGCAAAAATTTTGCGATAAAGTCATAAGAGGTTTCGCTCGTCGTCGACAAACGGCATTTTTATCAACGATGATTCGAACGTTGACACGAATGTCGTACCGCGAAAACATGTTCCACTTTGAAGAAACGACGGGGAAGATCAAGGGACGATGTTTGAAAAATTTCTTGACAATTTTCTCGCGAGAATTCGTGCCTTCTGCGACTCATCTCCCGGGAGACCCTCTCGATCCGACCGTGCTTTTGACGTAAACTCACCGAGAAAGATTAGCGCAAGGAACTGCGGCTGACACGTGGAAATGAGGGCGTTTGTTCTATAGTCGTGGATCGCGATCAGGAAATCCGGTATTACGCGACTGAGGGATAGCAGAAGTATCCCGGTCACCTCGCTGGCGTGTCAACGAGTCCAAAGACTTCGCAAACGAATCCGGCGGGTGAATAGTGCTGCCGACACGCTTGACACGTTGATGTAGTGGTCATCGATGACCGGTGTGTGATTGCATGGTAATTGGAAATTCATTCAAAATCCATTTTTTCCGTTCGACTTACGGTGGAGCAACAAAATATTATCGGCTATCTTATTGATTATTTATAGCGGCAGCCTACGATTACCCTTTTATAACAATATAAATAATGTATTTATTATGATTATATTAACTAATCAATAATCCCTTGCAATTTGCTTCTCGAGTAATTTAAACGTAAATTATGCCGCAGCATGCATTGTTAATTAACATTTAACACACATTTGTCCCAATAATGTCGCGCTCACTATCGTTTCAAATTAAACATTATGCAACGAGACGCTTGAAAACACTATTTCGAATAATCTAGTGGATTAAAATTATCTTCTAGAAATGTTTATAAAAGTCGAGGTAAAAAGTCTTCTTAAATCACATTAGTTTTTTCTCTGAAAAAGTAGTTTTCAATTTTCTTATATCTACGACGTCGTCTTTAAGTCGAGGCTAATAACTTTATGTTCGCTGTCGCGTTGCGTTAAATGATCAAGGCAGGGCGCGTCGTCGGCTACGCAAATCGAGCGAAAGAATACTTCACTCGATAAATCGTAGCGTGGACCATAAATAGTTACAATATTTCTCACGATTAAATCTACGTGATTTTGCGTTTGGGTGATTTGTATCACGTAGAAAATAAATAGAAGAAAAACATAAGTGAATTTCATTCCTTCTTCTTATCGACATCGTAACTTCTCAACACGCCGCGCGATTCTACATTCCTAAATTGCTGACTAAAAGCCAAAAGTTGATATACGCAAAATTGATTGATACGCATAACTTATCTGTTTCATCTTTTTGTATTTTTTTTCGCTATTCTTTACTCTTTAATTAATGCGAGTGGGCGCATCAATTTTCGCTAATGTGGACGAGTCATTAACTAATACTTAACTATTGAAGAAAGTTGAAAATCGCGAAATTCAAAAAATATTCAATATATCTCCGACGCACAATTACGAAACGAGAGATTTGGACACGTCGAGCTTCTCACTTGCGCGATTCTCGCTTGCTGCTCATTTTACAATGCACATTTTATATTACATTTGTAATAAAAGATACTCACTGATATCGGTCGATTTTGCCGGAGCGAGCGGTTCTCCGGTCCTGTATCGCCACTATCGTTGCTAGTCGTCGAGGCCGTGTCCCGGCTGGCGAGGAGCGTTGGGGCACCCCGATAGAAACTGCACGGACGATCGTGAGCGATAAGGGCGATAAGGGCGCAGCATCTCACCTCGCTCGTGCCGGCCCGCAGCCGTCGCTCTCTCTGCTCACCACCGTCTGCGTCTCCCGTGCTTCTTCGACGTCCTCTTCTTGATCCTCGAAAAGATTCAGGAGCCCCCAGCCGCCGCCGGCAGAGCGCATGGTCACTAGGCTCCAACCCCCGCTTTTCCACCCCTTTACACTCTGCCTCGCTCTCATCCGCTCTCCCTCCCTCTATCTCTCTCTCTCTCGCGCTCACTCTTCCGCTCTTTCTCCGCCACTGCCATTCTCTGTGTTCTATCTATGCATCTTTCTTCCTCCCCCTCTATTTCACGTACGCGCGCGTACAAAGCGCGTATACGCAGATATTTCATACACGCGTGCATAAAAAAATATACGCGCACGCATGTGTGCACGCGTAATAACACTTTCCCTTCGCGGTCTCTTCTTTTCCCTTTGTCATACATTTTTTTTAAACAATATAAGAATAAATGTATTCATCGTCTGTGTGCCGTTCGGTCTCTCTCCTTCTCAGTGCGATAACCGTTCCACTTTCGCGCGGTCCATTTGGACACTATCCTCGTCACTCGTCTCCCTCCATCGAGAACACTGTTGACGCCCCCGTGTCGCTATTGTCTCTGTATTATCATCCGCTCTCCTCGCGATCCACCCCTTTTTCAAATCTGTCGGTCTTTAACAGGAATCAGCAATGTATATTCGCAGCTGTTCTTCAACATTTTTTTTCTTCTATTCATCGCTACCGGCGAAATACTTTGCAGCGCATAGTAATTAAAACAATTTGTTTTCAATTTCTTACCTTTGTCAGAGCTTGCAAGGCGAGTGAAAGATTTTTTCGAAAACTTATAAGAAAAAAAAGAAATCGCTTCCGAATTATTTTCAGGAGGGCTCGAAATCATTTCATAGCCCTAACACGGAACGTAATCAAGATTCTTCGACTTAAGCCACCTTAGGAATGGCGCGATCCACGCGGAATTTACTTCGAGGCTACAATGGAATTCAAAGATCGCAAAGAATTTTCTATATGAGTCCTCAACGCCTCTTCGCCGTCGACTCTTTATTAAAACGCCTCTTATCACATTCCAGAAACAAAGATACCGCCGATATATTCCTCCATCAAATTGCATCGCGTATATATTTCTTAACGCGATTAGCCGAAGAAAAATGTTCGGCATTGTCGTAATGAAGAAAGGAAAGAGAAAACGAAGCGAATATTCGTTCTCGTACAAGTGTGGCGATTATTAAGACGGGCGAATAAACTAGCCCCCCCGCCGTATAGAGAAAGATTTCGCGGAAAGTCGTTCTCGTTACCAGTTTGCCACCTGTGGAGTCGAACGAGAAAGCAATATAGAAATTCTAGGCAGGAAACGGGTTCACTTGTTGATTTTAGGAAACTCCGTAGAAAACACACGAGGTGCAACTTGTTGCTAAAGGAGCCGCCGCTAATCGGTTTCAGCCGTGCGGTTTTACGGACGGATAAACGATTAGCATCGAAATAAGGGGATTCAGTTTCGAGATCGTCATCATCGAGAGTGCTTACGAATATTGAATTAAAATTGCCCGGGGTCAACTTCATCGACGATCCAGGCCAATTATCTTGGTTTAATGATTCAGCGTTTAGATTGGCTGACAACTTAATTACTGCTGTAAACGTAGTTTGTGCAATAATTAATAATAGTTAATAGTTCTTGCGCTTCACGCCTCTCGTTCTCATTGCCTTCTCTGTCATTGTTTAACTTGATTACTCGTTATTAGTTGGAACATATTGGTTCGGAAATATCTTGTCGTATGCATTATGATACGATTAAAAGCATGAATAAGCATGGATATTCGTTTTTTTACATTTATTCCGATGGATTTATGAGAGAAATGTTGCGGTATGCTTATTGTGAGTTACATTGCATAATTTATAATACCCAAAAGGTGCACATTTTGTTTAGCAAGTTTATAAAAAATTAAAGCCCACTAGGAGTATGTTCCGTTTTGGGGTTTATTGACTTGAAAATCTTGATAATCGACTTGATTTATTTTAGTTGGGCTTATTTTCTATTTTTGTATATTTTCATTGTTACGCTTTAATGACGACGAAGAGTAAACGACGATGTTCCTTACTCGTAATTTACTTTTACCATCGCGATAAAAGTTTTGCAGCACTGTTATAAATTCTTCCGATGTATAACTAAAATAATTGAATTCGTTCGTGATGTTTGTTTCCTTTTTGCAATCGATTCTGGCTCGACAAATCTTGTAATCTCAATCTTATAGTCTGTCTTTCAGCGGAACCTGAATAATAAAGAAAGAGAATATATATGTAATTCTATAAAATTGAATATTTCGCATTATCAAACTTTTAGCGCAAGCACTATAAAAACAAAGCCAGTAAAAAGAACTTACATATGGCTGAAGATAATTTTTTAAGCGTATGTCAGAGCGAGCAAAATTAATTAAGTACATACAAGTGGAAAAAGTAAGAACAAAATATTAAAAAATTGCAAGTACAATTTCGAATTTCGCGAGTTAAGAGTTTCGTTTAACGAAATTCTTCGAATTCACCTAACAATTTATTTATTTCTGCTCACGCACGTCAAACTTTCATTAAAACTATTAATAATCTTCGATGACTAATGCGGCAGACGAGCACGAGCATCGCCGAGCACAATAGATGCCAAATAATGCATTGTGCGGAAATCGAGGAACTGCGAAAGACTCGTCTACACCCGGATGTATATAGAACGGAGCAGAGAAAACGCGTAATTGAATGATGCGCGAGTCGGATGCTCAATGAATAGAATTCAATGAGCCGACAGTACCTGCAAATGCACGGGGACGTCGCGAGTTACGATCCGCTCGATCTCGAACCCGACGTCTTAGCCGCGAAGACACTCGGGATGGTGTTGTCGGTAGTCGCGAATTTAATCCAACGGCAACGAAGCAGCGACTGTAGGGGAGTAGTTTCGTCCGCTTGGATATTTCGGTCCGCCGTCGGTTTTAGGGAAGAGAGCCTACTACATCTCGCTTCGATATCAATCATTTTGCAGAGGGATCGTCGAGTTTTGTCGCGCTATCAAACGTCGAGGGTAAATGGGATTAAAACGAAACGAGCACTTAACCTACGTATTTTGCTACGTACTATTTCTGCGTCGCGCAAGGAACATCGTCGTTGCACTCTTCGGGAAGATTTTTACACGAAAATCATTATTTTTTTTTTTTTTTTTGTATTCGGAAGGGGATGGAAGAGACCGGTCTGGTTCGTCTTTTGTGACCGCTGCGATTTTTTCGAGATAGTTTGCCTAATCGAGCGACGTTGCTCATGGCAACTGGCGATCGATTTTAGCAGTGCTATTCGCGCGAGAACCTTTAATCGTTCAATCGCGCCAGCCCGCAAAATCATTAACACTCCATCTCGCTCTTCCTCGCTCGCGAGCGGGCGAAATCAAGCGCGATGTACAATAAAGTCGAGCAAAATATAGTAAAATCATCCTCGAACTGTATGTTTTTGGACACATTTTGCACGGCAGCGTGGAGACTCCCTTAAAATGGCCAATGGCATATTGCGCAATTGCGCGCAATTTAATTTAAAAGAGAAAAAAAGGTCGCATTTTGAAAGTAAGTTGGATTGGCGCTCGACAGAGAAAGACAAGCGCGTCGATTCGTAATTTTAAATTTTTTTCCCGACGATAGCGGGGCGTCCCACGCGTGGAGATGATGTCGATTCGCTGGCTCGACCCGGCTTGGCGCCGATGGATTTCATTATCTCGAAGAGCCCGCGTTTTGAACGAACGAACGAGAGAGCGAACGGTATGCGAAGATGACAACGCGCGCTCTCGCGTCCGGTATCGTCGCTGCCTGAAAATCGTGGAATTTCTTTATTGTGCGGCATCGCGTCGAGAGGGTTCGTGGGCTTTCCTTACCCTACCGAGTTTTCCTGCGTCTTCCGTCCCCCCCTTTCATCCTTCCCGCCCCTCTCTTCCATCCTTTAACGCCCTATCTCTTTGCCCGCACCTTCTCGCACAAGACGATGCCGTCACCGGCAGATGCTGCTCTCAACCTGCACCGCTATAATTAATACGAAAGCGAACGTTCCTAGAAACGCAGTCGTAAGGTTAATTCAATTTGTGCGAAACGTAAGCGGTCTCTTGCTAAAGAGTGTGTCCAAAAAAAGGATGCAAAAACCGAACGAGTTTCTTTGCAGCTGGAGCTGTTGCGCCGAATTGTAATTCTTATCGCATTTAACGTTGGAGCGGTCATCTCAGGCGACACACGTTCCTTTTTTTTTTTTTTTCTTTTGTTGCGACGATCAAATTCGCGACGCGAATGATCTCCGGCGAATTAATTGGGCGATGCATTCGGAGTGCACTGCAAGACTGAGCGCTAGATCGCATGAGAATTAAGAAACTAGTTCTTGAGAACGTATCGTTGCCCAGTTACATTTATTTCGCGTTGCTCATCTTTATTTATAATTCGCGTTCGGCCAGCGTGCTTTACGAAAAAGAATTGAATGGGATCCGGAATTGACCATCGGTCTTGGGAGCCACTTCTGCCGTTCTCATGAAAGGCAATGAGCTTGCGCGATATCCTACGGGCGAATCTACGAGCCTGTCGTTTATCTGCCGCATCATTTCACACATTTTTTTCTCCCTTCGCTCCTTTAGCTTTCGCTCACGCTACCCGCTTCCTTAAGAATATTTATTTCACGCTTTCTATCTCGATTTTTTCGCGCAGAGATTTTAGTCCACGCAATACGTTCAACGCACAATGCTCTCTCTAATTATTTAATTTTTCTACGATATTTATCTGTATTTAACGTCGTGAAACTCCTCTCTATATCATTATTTGAATAGCCGAAATGTGGAGTTATATTTATTACGAAAATATGGTTTCGAACAAAAAGGTATAAATCCTCCTCGGCGCTTATTAGCCGAAAAGTAAAGAAGCCACGTTTCTGTGAGAAGTTGCTAGGCTCGCTCGTTAGCACAGTAATGTCGGATCGAAGAAATTCTATTGCCCTCGCTATCAACTATCACGTCTCACTCACCTTACCATAAATATCATTCCTGAACAGTCCGTTTCATTTTTAATATCTCGGAATATATATTCAAAAAAAGAACTCGATAAAAGTTAACTCTTTGCGCCTTTAGGCTTTTATATCCTTCTGATTGTCGCATTATACTGTTATGTTATATTTTTATTCATTGATATTCTATGTGTATACGTTATTTATCTCACAATTAGATTCAGAAATCAGAAATATATGCGAATGAATCTTGTATTGCAATCGATTTAATCTTATTTCACATTATAATTAATATAGTTTTATATTATTTTATACATTTTGTATATGATATTCTCTTTTTTCCCATTTTTTTGCAGTCATTTTTAGGCTTTCTTTAATTTTCCTCCATATTCGAGTCCAAATTCGAGTTTCATGAATCGCGCATATCTCGCGCAGTCTTTCTGCAATTCTCACGCGGAATGGACAACACTCTGTTAACCGTCTTTTCCGCGAGAAAGATGCGGCGGACTAACTCTCGACACGTACGAACCAAGAGTGTAGCTCGGCAGTAACGTAAAAAGAAAATGATCGATGCTCGGCTTAAGCCAAGAGTTACATCGAAAGCCTTTCTCTCTCCGACATTTTCCTCGGATTAGTTTCCACGGAGGTTAACGCCTGTCTCGTTACTTTAAGCAATCGTAGCGGAGCTGTAGAGTGTCTCCGCAGCTAAATCTTCTCGGTGTCAACACTACGTGTGCCGATATAGAGCTAATCCGCGAAAACGCTTGTCACGCCTAATGAGTTCTCACTTGCGTTGTATTTCACTTTTTCTCAATGACATATATAAAACTTCGTTTCATATATAAATATTGTAACTATGATTAAGCACCAACATCAACAATGTCACACAAGCGCTCTTAATTAATAAAATATACAATTCTGATGAAATTTAATATCAATTCATACTGCTTATCATGGTGAAAAAAGACGCCGCAGATGATACCATCTAAAACGTAACGTCTTATCACTAAAATTACTTGTACTTAGCAATCAAAGTGCACACTTTTGTACACAAACGTACTTACAGATGCGAAAGTTTGCAAAGATAACGGTACGATGTACCCGGCGGTCATCTGTGCTGGTTTCTGAGATCTCATCGTCATAATATTTAGAGACCTTTTTAGTTGATAAAAGCGATACCACGGTATAAAGTATATTGCGCTTGCTACGGCTTGACTCTGTAACATAATCCACCAATGTTATTATTAATTGTGAAATCTGTATATGCATATATTTATTAATTATTCCACTGAGAGAACCACATGACAAAAACTAGAAAGAGACCCTAGAAGTGACAAATAAATAATTAATATCTTTCAGAGCCTCCTCTTCCTCTCAGTTCTTCTTGCAGTTCTTTAAGACACTCACACGCTTTTGCGACACGAATATGAAAATCCGTGCGATGACATTTGAGTTTCGTTCGAACGACAAAGTACGCATCGGGAGTGTCGTTTAAAACATCGTGCAATTTTTGTATTTGCGTCGTGAACGCGTGTGAGTGGCTTGAAGAACTGCGAGAAGAACTGAGAAGAGAAAGGAGGTTCAAGAAGGACATCGAGCACCGGCGGAGCAACTTAAGGATAAGTAACTTAAGAGTAATCATTTATTTGTTATTTGTACATTATCTTTACCTCCGTGAGAAGAACATCTGCCGGCCAATTACACAAAAACAGTTGAATCACTGCAATCGACAGTTGCGTTGTGTATTTAAATTTATCAGGATCATCCTGTAATTATGTAAATTGCACGATTAGTAACATTAAAGATATTTATGTAAAATATAAATCAACTCGCATTTGCCGTGTGTTTTCGTGATTGCAATTGTGATAAAAAGTTTCGAAATATTTGAAAAATAATTCTTTATGTAACGCACCTACATTATTTTATTATATATCAAACGTATACATTTCTTAATGTTTCAATTTTCAAAGGAAATTTAGAAAGAGCTACTTTTAGTTAAATAAATACAAATAATTTAAAAAATTTTTCTTTTTAATCATATCTTAATAAATCGCTAAAAGCCGAATAAAATTTTATATAACACGCAGCCGTGCAATGCAATAATAATTAATAATGTAAGAAAAGATGACTTCTTACCCCCGCTAATTTAAATCCCACAAGAGAGATGTTATACGTACTGCCGAGCAGTTGCGTCAGAAAGATACCGGTGGTGAGCTTCTCAACTTCTTTACAAAATCTATTCGCGCAATGTCACTTGTTAATTAATTAAATCACTTGTGCAATGTATACATACACACAGAAAAATACATACTGTATTTAAGTAAATATTACTTGTTTTAAGTATTTTATAAGTTCATATATACGCAAATCAATCGTAAGTTCATCATAAGCATCAAATTTATTCAAAATATATTTTGATCTCAGTAAGTTTAATACTTTAATCAAGAATATTAAATTAGAAAAAGAATTCTATTTGCTTATTAAATTAACCAAATCTGACTTTTCTTCGATACAATTTTATAATATTCTTCACCAAAAAATAACTACTTCTTTGAGTATATGATAATGAGTTTATCAAAAATTTGTGATGAGTATATTTTAAGACTATTATCAAGAAAATATTCTTTATTAAAGATAATTGTTACTTAAAAAAAGAAAAGTAAGCCGAGTAATTACTTTTCTTAGCAATAGAATGATATTTTTCTGTGTGTATATGCGGTTAGTTTGGACCAGACAAAATTCAACGAATATCTAAATAGAAAATTTCACAGGAAAATTATCTGTACGAGGGCTGTATGATAAGTACTCGTGTTTAACGACAGAAAGCATCATTGACTCAAAGTCTGTATACCATCGTTTAACGTCATCTTTTAAACGACGCCAATCAAAATTTCAAACAGATTTATCGAATAGTTTTGTTTTGACAACTGTTAAAAGTGGACAAGATTATGTTTGTTTGCAACCATAGAAAAAGAGCAATATCGGTCAGTCAATTCCACGTCAAACGAGGAAATCATCGCCGAAACAGAGGCTTATTTTGCGGAGTTCGACAAATCATATTTTTTGAATAATATAAAAATGTTGAAATATCGCTGGATTAAGTGTATCGAGCTGAAAGGAGACTATGTTGAAAAATAAGTAAAAAAAAATTTTTTTAAATGCGTTTTCTTCCCTAACATGGGTACTTATCATACTTATCGTACAATGGTTTTCTTTCTTCTGAAAAACACGATTTAAAGTTATAATATTTCTTAGAAGCATTTTATCCATAAAATAATGTTATAAAAAATGGATTCTACTTAAGAATACTAGAAAAAAACACAATTCCAGTTTTGTTAGTGTTTTGTTAACTTTTTATTTTACTTTTGCAAAACAATAACTTTTTAATTGAATAAGAAAATAAAATAAATTGGTATATGTATTCACTAAAAAATAAATATAATAAACATATTATACTTTAATGTACGCATTAGAGTGTCGCAATTATCATTTATCTGTAAATTATCTGTAATTTAATAAATTAAAATCATTTTCATAACGTATATAGCACTATCGCGCTGCTATGCACGCCATGCATTCCATACAAACGTGCGTGCACGCCTAACGCGTATACTGTAATATGCTCGCGCGACTCGGTGACGCCGACAAAAATCAGAGGAACGATCGGCCCGCGATCGAAAGCTCGAACCCGGGATATGCGTGCACCTTGCTATCATAATGTTCATACGTCAATTCGGACGTGTTAAGGCAATCTTTTTTCGAGTCTCTCCATTGATTGCGCGGTATCGTAGGGGCATTTTTACGGTTACAGATCATCGCCTCGCGCGATTCACGTGGTTCTTCCCGTTCCCCCCGCCGCCTCAAGCGGCCGAACCGCATCAAAGATCCGCCGCAATTTGTAAACGGCTATCGTAACAGGCTCATCGCGCATTTGCAAAGCGCTTTACTTATTGTCTGACCTTACGCGCAGCATCTTCGCGCGCTGCCACAAGCCTCCCTTTGTTTAGTCGTATTATTGATTGCATACCGTCATAACAGTGTTTTTAGCCCGCGGCTGTCGGCGCTACGGTTTGTCCTTTTCTGTTTCAGCCGTATACAAAACTGGCTGTACGCGGTTCCTTCCTTGCGACAGGAATGCTGTTACCTAAAATCGCGTGTATATATATGAGAGAAATTTTTCTAACATCCTTAATATATTTTTAATATGTTTAATATAGCGATTTTAAAGCATTAATGCCACTTTTTTCTGGATATATCAAGTTTTTTAATTTTACTTCAACTCCTGTAACATATGAATGATAAATAGTTTTATCTTGATACTGAAAGATTGTGTCTAGACCCAGCGATAAGGCGGCGCCAGCTTACGGCAGCAAACATTTTGACTAGTATCGGAATCAGCGCGATAATCGATTCTGCGCGGGCGCGATTCCGCGCAACAATCAACGAGGTAGGAGCTCGCCAAAATATGCGAGAACGTTCTACCGAGTTTTCTTTAAGAGACCAGTACTTTCAAAAATCACTCTCTACCGAGCAGACGAGCTGCATAGACGCAATCGAGAAATATAGTAGAGAGACAGTCGAGTCGTTTGTCGGGTACTTAAACTTTGTGAATCTTTGTGTAACAAGTATTCTTTGTAAAATTATACCATTACTTTAAAGTCAGAGTTTCTTATTCGAAGTATCCATCCTGTCGTACCGTTTAAGTAGTCGAGTCGGAAGTGTAATAATATTACACGAGTAATAATAAATAAGGTCGTGTCGGGACAACCGTTTTTACTTTGAATTAAACGAACCGTTAGAGATTTTTATAAAACTTTTATTAAAAACTGCAATTTGTCGTGCCGGAAAATCGATCTTCGAGACATAATCGAAAATCTAAGTCGTATCTTACAATACTGTAATACATTCTAAAAAAGAAGTATGCAAACCGATTTCTGTGTTGCCGTTAACAATTTTAGCATATCATTCTTTCAGAGAAAGCAGTGTTTTGAAATTCGTTGGTCTGTGTACTAACATTTTTTCCTTTCGGAAGATATATTGTTTATATAAGTCATAGTTCGAAATTGAATTTTTAACTATACGCGACATCAAATGCATGATGTTATTATATGCGGTTAGTTCTTTAATTTTGGTGAGAATATTGATTCCTGAGTAGGGTTCCACGAGAATCCGATTATAAATAACAATATTACTAGTGATATTAAAATATAAATAATTAATAAATAATAATTAATAAATATGAATTAAAATAAAATGTTATATATACATATGTATTGTTATTACAATATACTTATTATTGGGGTCATGCTGTAAGCTTCTTATTAAATGATATTTGTTAAATAAACTGAAAATATGCAATATAAGGCCATATAAAGAATTAATTATTGAGGGCTTGCGCTATATGATACATCATTTATTGGATTCTTTGTAGTTTGAAAAAGAACGAATTTGCAACTTTGAGAGCAAAATAATACCGAGTATTTATTGGTAGAAAAGAATTAGGATGAATGAGCAAGACAGAACATGTAACATAAAATTGAAAACTTGGCTTAGAGCTGCTAATGTCCAGTAGTTGTGTGAATAAAATAATCCAATATCCTCGATGTAGAATTTGTCCATTGAATTCAATAGCTTGGTGCCAAATAATTTCCTTCGCCAATATCCAATTATCTTGTTCCTTTCGCAATCGTTTGAGACGGTTTGTTCAAGTTCTTCTACCACGTAGCTACATCAACACAATTATAT